CTATGTCCAGCTAGAGGCGCTGCTGCTTCACATCACAGACTCACTGCCTTTGGGGACCTATGTGCAGACTGGCTGGAACCCCCTTGCGGAAGCTGCCCCAGTTCAACGCATAGCGAGGGAAAGACCGGAGGAGCCGAGTTCATACAGAAATCCACCAAGATCCTCCTCTCAGCCTGCCAAGGAGTCAGCCTCTCACGATGATGATAACTCCACCCGGCAGCTCGCAGTTCCTCCTTGGAGAGTAAACAAGGCAATGGACTCTGATCACAGTGCTCTGCCGACCTCCTTGCATCAGCCCGAAGATGATAGTGATGAATCCTGGGGGGTATGGTCACCAGCCGCTGCTGCCGCAGCCACAGATCCACAGGTTCCATCTCAACAGGAAGTCCCACAGCAGCCAGAGGGAAGCAGAAGAGAGCATGCCTGGCAGCCAACAACTCAGCACACACCAAGTTTAGCAGATCTGGATGGTACTCTTGATCGGCTTTCTGGACGGGGCGCTCACGAAACCAGACGAGTGATGATAAGCAAGCTCCTCACACAGGCTCTCAGACATGACCCAGCGAAGTATGGCATTTCGCTAGACGCTGCTGGCTATGCCAACTTGAAAAGCCTTCTCAATTCCAGGCAATTTTGGCGGGCTGAAGTGACGGTTCATGAAGTACAGCGAGTACTGGAAACCTCACAGAAGATCCGCATGGAGCAGATGACCTCAGAGGAAGACGGCGAAATCTACATCAGAGCCTTACAGGGTCATGGCCATGACATTCCACTGGACGACGATCAACTGCATGAGGTTCTGACCTCATCCACAACACCGGAGTGGGGTGTCCACGGGACGAGCTGGCGGGCCTGGCAGCAGATTCGCTCCTCTCAGCTGCGCAGAATGCAAAGACGTGACATACATATGTCTTTGTCACCAACCAAAACTGCAGGCTTCAGGGAGGACTCTTCCGTGGAGATCTGGATTCACCTGCCGTCTTTGATCGACAGTGGACACAGAGTGCGTCGGGCGAAGAATGGAGTACTGCTGACGCGTGGACCCATTGACCTGTCCCACATCAGCACTGTCATTGATCGGCACACAGGCAAGTCTCTGCCCTTCTAAAGCGTTCTCAGCAGTTTCACCTGAACCGAATTCGTTCTGCCGTGGTCTACTTTCGCAGCGGGAGGCTTCCTCCGGAGGCTTCCTCCACTTCATTTTAAAGTAGACAGCAAGTACGCCCTCTGCTTAAGGCAACAAAGACTTTGTCACAGCCTGCATGAGTTGTCTCTATTTACATGCTCTAAGAGGAGTTTCCCCATCCTCCACCTGCTCATTGCCCAGGTGAGCCTAGCGTCGCGCAGCCCACAAGCAGTGGCAGGCGCTTCCTTCTGTAGTCCTTGTTCTTGAGCCGTGCAGCTTTCAGCTATAGCTCTTGCATGCCTGTTAGCAATGGTCAATGCCTGCCTGCCACAAGAAACCGCCTCACTCTTCCGATCGCAGTAGCCATTCTAATCTCGAATCCAGCCATCAACACTCGAGTTTCCAATGGAGAGCACTAGCTTGGTGCAAGCGCTCACTCCGCTCCTGGTTGCTCTCGTGCACCAGCAGGTAGTTGCGGAGGACCCGAGTATTTCCTCTGAGACTACCAGCGCAAGGGTTGCGGAGTACCTCCACACTCACAAGGTGAAAATCCTTGCCCAGTTCATGAACTACGCACATGAGGTGCTCCAAGGAGAGAGGTTGAGGACACTGCATTGGGCAGCACAGTCACTGACCGGATATGATGAATGGCGTGAAGTTAAGGCGGCCCGACGCCAAAAGTTGCGGAGCATCAGCCTCCGTTACTTAAGCCAGATGAGGTTCACCGGGCTTCCCACCACTCAAGGAACGTGGTTCTACATCGTGATCCTCACCGAACTTGAGAGCTTCTATCGGGAGACGCAAATTCTCCGGTATACGTCAGGTATGTTGCCCCCGAATCTTGACGCTCAGTACCAACAAGAGGTTGGGCAGGTCCGTGATGAGTTCTTTGCCGAGGATGCGGAGATGAACATAGCGATCGCACAGTGGACCACCATTTCGGCAGGTCTCACAGCATGAGTGGGGGCTACCTCCGGAGGCTTCCTCCCCTTCCTGCACCTCGCCGATTCCCTGTACACTTTTCAACACATAAATCGGCCCTTTTGTAGGTGCGGCTCTCAGCCTGACTAGCCATGCATCAGTATGGCAGAACTCCATTAGCACATAGGTTGATAATAGTGTCTCTTTCCTTCTTTCACTTGGAGGTTTCCTCCCATTTTGCTTGCATCTTTCATCTTCTTGAGACCTTCTTTATACATTCAAGTGCAATGGAGCTTCTCCAGCAAGGGATTGCAATATCACTTGTCTAGCCTTGCAACAAAAGCAGATGGCTTTTTGAGACCATCAGCGGCTACGAGGAAGAATCATGCCTGCGTCTGTGTTGCACAATGGGGTTCCCACTCTCCTACCCCATGCGGAGCACACCGCTCGTGA